AGCAGCCTTGTCACAACTTCCGTTTCTTGTTGAGTTCGCGGCGACTGTAAGAGATCGGATGCATGACAATGAGTATCTTGTATACCCATCAACGAGTTTTCGTGGTCATTAGTGGGGTTTTATGATGGTAATATATTATGGTCAACGTAGGCCACAGCCCATTATACATATCTCCTCAACAGGCATCCAAGTGAGCACCCGTAATTCGACCCAACAATAAGTGACACCACTTCTCGCAGGCCAGCAATCTAGTCCTCGCCCAGTACTTCCAATGTAGACGTCCTAGACTCATGACACGGAGGCCATAGATTCGACTCGTATGATCCATGCGCCTTCAAATACCGGCGACTTGTGTGCTTATCCCTTCAGACGACCAGAACCTATGGATCTCAAGCGGGTACTGACCGATCTCGCATGCCTCCCCTTTCACCAACCCGAAGGTAACGTCCTCGTGGTCCTCTTCCCACCAATGTTAAGTTTTGCTTAGTTTATGTCCGTCTTTGGACTGACTACCCTTTGCGGTCACTCATGAGACAAAGGCACGTTGGACCACGTCTCAGCACTGTGTAAGAATTGGGAAGTACCCCAGTAGACAGGACCCTCACACGTCACACCGGGAGACGTTTTTGGCCAGGTATGGCAAGCACCCCATTCTCACTGTGAGTACTACTCAGTAACAACTAGGTAGAAAGGCGGGAGACGGCAACGTGTCTGCACGGCAGCGGTCACTACGTTCCAATCTATAGTTTTATATCCAGTAACTTCAGGCAGCGCTTGAGCCTAGGTCGAATGGACTACAAAGTAAATCCGACGGTTTGCTGGTGGCTGTACACGAACCTAAGCCCCCATCAAACAATACACGCCCAGAAACAGTGACGCACAGAAACCCGAACAACATCTATAAGGCCTCCCGCAAGGCACGTTTGAACTAAATTCATCCATATCCCCCCCTCCTGAGTCTGGCTATAGTTGGATAGAGTTAATGCCTGGTAAGCCTTATTGTCGACACGATCCAACCAATCACTCAGCGAGTTAGGAGCTATCTGCTCGGCTATTGGTTGTTGGTTTACTGAAATCGTAATCTTATTCGCTGATTAATGTCAGCCAATGAAGGAGCGAAAGTGGGACAAAGTTTAGACGAATTTGTCGACCTGCTGGCATATAAATATTATTTGCTGGGTGCTGCCGTCAACTGCGTTCAACGTGATGGCACCCAAAGTAGTCTCTGGTAAGGCCGCTAAGAAGGCTTCGAAGCCCCATGTCTCGAAGACCGACAAGAAAAAGAAGAGGAGGAGGAAGGAGTCCTACGCTATCTACATCTACAAGGTCCTCCGTCAGGTGCACCCTGATACGGGCATCTCCTCCAAGGCCATGTCGATCATGAACTCCTTCGTGAACGACATCTTCGAGAGGATCGCTGCGGAGTCTAGCCGCCTCTCTCACTACAATAAGAAGTCGACCATTACCAGCAGAGAGATCCAGACGGCGGTCAGGCTGCTCTTGCCGGGTGAGCTGGCCAAGCATGCCGTCTCTGAGGGCACCAAGGCCGTCACCAAGTACACTGGTTCCAAGTAGACCGGTGTGGCTTGTGTCATGTGAACGCATAAATGGCCCTTTTCAGGGCCGCCACACTTGATTGCCAGACTTCTTAATTGGTTTTCTTGGGCTTAGGACCGACTTCTGCATCCAGCTGCGGATGCTGTCAGTCACGCTTTGGGGTGCGGCGACGTATCGGCTGTGTGTGCGGGTTCCCAGCGGGAGGGGTCGGGGGTTGCCCCGTTGACGGCGCGATGGTCGATTCGCGAGGTACAACGCAGCCAGAGCTCTGTGGGGCCAAGTTAACCCGAGTGTGCTCGGTCCTTTGCCCTGGAGACGGCTGGAGATGTCTTTAACATCATGCGCGCCATTGCTACCGACTTGTTGACGATGA